TTAAGTGTACTACAGACAGAACTGAGAGTGCAGATACCGAAGTGGAAAACCCATCCTTAAAGCCAACAAAGGAAAAGACAAATTTCCAAAGGAAGATAAAGAGATTTTGTTGAAGAGGCACTGATTCTGCCATAAGACTTCTGGGGATGGAGAGAAAGGACAATGAGAGACTAGGAAAGTAACATTATTTAAAATGACAATGAATGAGAATTTTCTAGATGTGATGAAGGGGAAAAAATATTCATTCAATCACAAGTATACATTAAGTGATTACTGTGTTCAGACATATTTCCAACTGGAATATAGCCAAGAGCAAAATAGTTAGGCATCACTGCCCTCACGGAGTGCAATAATTTACATATTGTTGCCTTACTTAATGTAATTGGAAGGGGAGTAACTGGAAGCTATGCATAGTTGGATATACCTTGAAGGGAGGAAAATCAGGATGGCTTGAAATTAAAGACAAAAGAGATAACTGCAAGGATTACATGAGGATTGTGGGCCTGAGCAAAAAAAGACAAAAAGAGCTGGAATTGCTTAAAGACAAAGACCTTGGGGTTGGGGCAGATAGAAGAGTTGGACAAAAGGATAAATTCAATACTGGACATCTATCATTTGATGTGCCTGTCATATGTCCACGTGGGCCTAGAAGTGAAAAATAAGGGTCTAATTTTACAGGGGTGGTACAGGGTGGAGATACACCTGTGTTTCAGATGAACAACCTGAGCATTATTTTAAATCACCAGAAATCATCACAGAATCAATACAGGAGACAGTAAAAAAAAAAAAAAAGAAAAGAAAAGAATAAAAGACATGTCAGGAGCGAGGGCAAAGAGCCTGGCACTGGAAAAGGGGTAGAGGACTGAATCAAGGCAGGATAAAAGATTGTGATAGGTGGCCCTCCCTGGTGGCGCAGCGGGTTAAAGCACAGCACAAAGAAGCTTAAACCACTTCTGCAAGAGTTCGATTCCCGCCTGCCCCCAGAGGTGACCACATGGCGAGGCAGACCTCTCCTGGCCCGCCCGCTGCTCCCCTCAGCAGTGTACTTCATCGATCTGCCTGTTCTGCTCCCCACTCTGTCTCTGGTGAATCCTCTCACCCTCCGCATCTCTGACCTGTATCCCAGTTCTGTACAAATAAATAAATAAATCTTTAAAATAAAAAAGATTGTGATAGGGGACATGAAATCCAGGAATGATGGAGAAGAGGTTGGGGAGCAACAATAAGAGCAAAAGGAGCACACGTACCTCACCTCCAGTCATCAGCGCCAGAGATGAGGGAAAGAAAGCAGCCTCCCCCTGAGAAGTCTACAGGGAAGCAGGGTACTCAGAAGTCATGGCTTTCAATTGTAGTGGAAGGTCCTTGTAGTAAAGGACATATCAGGGAAGTAGATTTCTCAGCTTTGTGATTGACTATAAACTCCAGAAGATAGAGTGAGAAGGGTTTGGTATAGGAGGCCTTAGAAAACACCATGTCCTGAGTATTTGAATACTTCAGTGTAGCATTAACAGATGAGGAGATTCCTGCCTTGGACTAGAGTAATAGGCAGGAGGACTTAGTCTTCCTAACTCCAGAAAGATATGAGGGGGCAAGATGTTTAACTCAACAGAAAGTGAAAGAAGCATAGTTTTTAGGATATAGTTATTGGTAGTTCACAGAACTTTCCTTCAGGAAGCACAACAATTTCAAGATGATGTATTTTAAATATACACATTTAGACAGAATATTTGAATCCACAATACACCACATCCAAAGAGTTCTTATTTTATGCAGAAAGATAACTACAGTGAGACCGCAACCAATCAGAACTCTTACTTCTCAGAGCATCAAAGGAAGCTAGGAAATAGTAGAAAGACAGCAGTGAAATGCTTTGAAATAAGCTAATTCCTTTTTTTTTTTTGCCTTTTTATTTTTATAATATATTTATTCCACCATCCTTCATTTTTGTACAATGTACGATTTCCCCATGAAATTCCCACCACCAATTCACCTGTTCACCATCAACATAGTCTCTTGTGCTCTTCCCACTCCTGTCCTAATCCTTCCCCCGCACTCCCCCCACCTCACAGAATGTCTCTGATCTATAGTTGTGTGATGATTTTGATTTTTTTACTTTATTATAGTTACGTTTTTTTTCCTGAGTCCTTATTTGGTTCCTCTACATTCTTCCTATAAGTGAGACTATTTTTCTTTTTCTTTCTGGCTTATTTCACTGAGCATAATCCCCTCCAGCTCCATCCATGTTACTGCAAAGAGCATAAGTTTATCCTTTTTGATTGCTGAGTAATAGTCCACTGTGTAAATATACCACATCTTCTTGATCCAGTCATCTATTTTGGGGCATTTGGATTGCTTACATAGCTTACTATTATAAATTGTGCTGTAATAAACATAGGGCTGCAGGTGTCCTTTTGAATTAGTGTTTTTGTGTCATTTGGGTAAGTTCCTAGGAATGGAATTCTGGATCATATGGAAGCTCCATTTTTAATAGTTTAAGGAACCTCCACACAGCTTTCCATAGTGTTTAGACCAGTTTGCATTCCCACCAGCAGTGTAGTAGAGTTCCTTTTTCTCCACATCCTCACCAACATTTGTTGTTGCTAGTTTTTTAATATCTGCCATTCTCACTAGTGTAAGGTGATATCTTATTGTGATTTTGATTTGCATTTCCCTGATTACAAGTGATGGTGAACATTTTTTCATATGCTTATTGGTCATTTGCATTTCTTCTTTGGAAAAGCGTCTTTTTAGCTTTTCTACCATTTTTTACTAAATTGTTTATTTTGTTTTTGTTGAGACTCTAGATTTTTGTAGATCTTTGTGATCAGTCCCTATTGTGTGGAAATTAAAGAACTTTGTACAGCGAAAGCAACATTAGTCAAAACAAAGAGACACCCCACTGAGTGGGTGAAATCAGCTAATTTAACTGTTTTTTTTTGTTTGTTTGTTTTTTTACTTAATGAACCCATCTATCAAAAATTGACAAAAAGATTTTGGTCTGCAGACCAAATCTTTTGCAGACCAAAATTTTTGTGTCCATTATAGAGAATAATTTTTACATTTAGATAAAGCACTTCCACTTGAAGAGATTAAAATATCTGGAAATATATAAAAATGATTGTAGATCTGGGATCATTTCTTAAACAATGCATATTGCAAAGCATAAAGAGCAAAAATGATGTTGGAAACCATCTTAATGAGAGCATTCTGTTTCTCAAAAGGCACTAAAAAGAATGTAAACACAAACAAGCCACAAAATGGTAAAAGTATGGACAAACATACATTTTTTAAAGTCCAAAAAATAAATAACAAAAATAATAATTAATTTAAATTTTTTTAAATCCATAAAAGATACTACACAAACATATGCTAACACATGTAAAAATATGATGAACCTTATGAATAATAATACAACATAAATACCGAGTGAGAAACCATTTTACACTGTAAGTTTGAAAATTCTAACCATATTAAGTGTTAGTGGTGCAAAGGTAACTTAACCACTACTCACAAAGCATAAATTAGGAAAACTACTTCAGAAAGCTGCTTGCCCTTATCTGTTATTGTTTGTGTACCACAAGCTATTTCCTCAAAATAACACTTATGCCACGAGCATATGTATCCAATGTCAAATATCTGTTTTAACAAACTTAAACATGTCTGCATTTAATTACCATAAACCACACAAGTATTTCACCACACACAGAAAAAAAATTCCTTCTCTTCTCTGAACATCACTAATAAGCACTAAATAAACAAGTTTATTAAACAGTGTAATTCAAATTAGACAGCAACGCTAAACACAAAAGTTAACCTTAAAGTCAATATTTGTCTCTCTATTAATAATTAATGACCACCAACTGACCAACAACAGCAACAAAACAAACTAAAACATAAGTAGCGCTGGTTAGACATTCTTCATTGCTACTTAAAATCTATTCACATCAAAGAACGTTGCATTTCTGATTTTTTTCACATTAAAAGAAATGTCAAGAACAATATGGGTGCAGTGCGGGCCAGTGATTCAAAATGGGGAGAGTTAACTTCATAGCCTCCTAGGAAATCTTGGAAGACTTAGGTGCAGGCTATTTCTGAAAGTCACTAAGGAGTTTATGAGATTAGATATCAATTCTGTCGCGAGCCCCACCCCCACTACCACCACCAAAAACAGTAAAAGCAGGAATGACCACTATGCCCCACTCGGGAATCTGAGAAATAATCCTATCAGGTTCTAACCTCCCCAGGATTTTGCCCCGTTAATCCTGTTACCCTAAGGAAAATGGCAAGAGGCGGCGCCTATATTTGATATCCTCTACTTCTTAGGTCTCGCAATGCTATCTTGATTTGGATGGGGTTTTTTTGTTGTTTTGTTTTGTTTTTTTGGTTTGTTTTGTATTGTTTTCATGGCAGAAACAATGTTTGCAACCTTGTATATGATACGGAGGTATGGGCTGTCACCTCTTCAAAAGACTGTAACAACACCAAGTGCACCACCAACTCATGAGTAATCATTCACCGTATTGCAAAATGACCCCTTGGCCTTCTTTGCTCCCCTCCCCCAATTCTCATTGTTTTGTACCTTCAGTTCCACCGTCAGATTTCCAAGGTTTGTTCTATTTTAGATATTCCCAATTCTAACTAAATGCGTGGGTATATAATGGTGAGTGTGAGTAGCAATAAGGAGGGAGGGGCTTAGAATGACACTCTGCGACTTTAATTCCACTAACGTCACTGCTACTTTAACCTCCTCCACATCCGCATCCGGCCAGAGGAATATAAGCGCCCATCAAGCGGGGCTGATCCTCACTCAGAGTCCAGGCTGCTGTCCTCCTAGAAGGAACCCTGAGAGCTCCAGCGACAGGATCTGTGCCCTGCACTCCTGCACCCCAGCTGCCCTCAGCTCGCCTGACCGATCAGAGAGACCCCCTCACAAAGAGGACTCAGCACCCCACTCCTTCTGCCAGTGCCCAGAGAGAGCCACCTTCAACGCCATTCAGGTGATGGGCACCCGACCCCGCAGCCCCAGCGCCCAACCTGCTCCCTGCTGGGGACCACAGCCCGGGGGGCGCCACCCTGCCAAGCGCCCACGATACCTCGAGCCCCAGAGCCCCAACTTCGAGATGCCGCCCAACCTGGCAGACCCCACCGGACCCCAGGCAGCAGGCATGATCACCGTGGCCATCCTGCCTGCAGGCTATGCCCTAACGGTGCCCCTGGGCAATGTCAACCTGATGCTGGAACCTGCGCCAACGTCGGTCCTGCGAGTGTCTCTGGGAGCACACACTATCCTGCTGGTTCCCGAGGCTCTCCTCCACTTGGAAGACCACCACCAAGTAGGTGGGCAGGGCCCCTTTCCTGTGGGCCTGGAACCCCGCACTCACCGGGGTGCTCCGCGGGAGGCTGTTGCCCTCGGGAGGGGATCCTTCTGCGCCAGTTCCGGTGAGATGGCTACCCAAGGGGTTGTCCCCCAGGACGCGAACCACCAGCTCCCGCCCCCGTGGATGGGCCCTGCAACTGGTTCAGTCGCTGGACTCCCACAAGTGGCTCCTAGGATATCTAACCACCTGCAGGGCCCCATGCCAGGGCTCCCACCGTGGGCCCCCACCCCTAGTCCAGAGAGACGCTCTCTTGGCCCATACTTCAGCCTCAGGTTGCGCCTTCTGGAGCCATTGCCCCACTCACCCCTGCAACCTCTGCCTGCATCACCAAATCCGGGTCCCCAAGCCCGTCCTCAGCGCCCTCAGCATCTTCACCCCAAAGCCCGCAGACGCCTGTTCCTGAATTGAACTGTTCCCTCCCCACTGGTAGGCCCAGTTCTCATTGCACCCCCACCTGCCTCAGTGCCCTATGGGAGTCCCAGAGTCCTTTGCACTGACCAACCAGCCAGCTGGAATTGAGCACCTCAGGTGCAAATCACATTTTCCCTGACCTGTCTACAACGGAGATGAAGTCACCAAGAGAAAGCAGATTCTAGACCTCACCTAGGAAACTGAACCTTGTCTGCCCAGAGGTCCCAGACAATGACTTCTCACACGTCTGGGCTTCTCCACAAGCTCATCCTCAAGACCCTCCGTTCTCCTCCCTTGGCAGCAGTGACCTCTCAAACTAGTCTCTGGCACTGTGCCGCTGCTCCCCTGTCCCTGCCCCAAACCAAGGAATCAGCATTTCTTACTTGTCAGTTCCCTTGTAGGCTTTCCCATTACTTTGTAATAAAGATGCTTCATTGATAAAGAATTCGCTCTCTCTTGGTATTTTTGTTAGAAAGCTTGGTGTTGCCAACTTTCTAGAGGAAAACCACAAAGTAGAATGATGCTTCATATGCAGAATCATATGCAATGTATTCCTAACTGCCTCCCAACCTGCCTAAGTTCTTTCCACTCTGGATTGTATATGCTTTCAGCATAAATTGAGACATATACTTACTATTTATAAGCTCCCTATATGACAATTCCACCCAATTAGCAGATGTTAAATGCTTATATTCCTGCTATTCCATTTGGTTGTACATTTCAATTTTCCCCCTAGGCTTTCTCTTATATAAGCCAAACTTCAAACTTAAAAAATTGCTTTATTTGCACATTTATTTCACATTTTTATACAGAAAGTAAAATATAGTTAAAATGAAATGAACTATATAGCATCATAATTTATTGAAATTTCATTTTTAAAGAATTTCATTTTTAAAATCAACCAATATTTTAGCTTTATCAATGTATTACCAATTCATCACTACCTTTTCATTTTTACAGCATCAGTTTTCTACTTCTGAAGACTATCCTTTAGTAGTTCTTTCCACACTGTCCTGAGTGTGGTCAACACTCTCGGTGTTGTACATCCAAACATGTGGCAAACACTTTTAGTCTTCTATGTCTGAAAATGTTGTATTAATGTTCATTCTAAATTCCAAAATGATATTAACTAAGGATACAAGCTTCTTGCTGTACCATTTTTTGTTACTATCGTTGTAGCAATTAAGGTGCTATCCCTGTTATATTTGAATTGGCTATTCATTTGAGCACATTTAAAATGCTAAAGTTGATGTTCTACATTGTTACATAATATGCCAAGAAGTATACTCTATTCTCATTTGACTTGCCTGAATTTGATGAATAAAGAATAGGGAAACTATCTCTTCCCTGAAATACCATAAAATCTTAGACTTTTTGTCCGAAGATATCCTACATAATTTTGTTTTTCTGATCTCGTGAACATAGATGTGGTAAGAAGCTCATCAAACAGAGGAAGAAAGGCGCATAATTACAATAATATAATTCTAGAAAGAACCACAGAGTTCTCCTTCAGGATGCACACTAATTTTTAAGGTGATGCATTTTAAATGTACACATTTTGACAGACCATTAAGTCTATATGCACCACATTCAAAGACCACTTCTTTTAAGCAAGAAAGAAAAAACAACTTCAGTGAAGACAGAAAACAGTAGAAAAGTGGCAGTCAAGTGCTGGTTTGAAAACAACTATTTTGACTAGGAATTTTTCATTTAATGAAACCATCTTTCAAAAATTGCTACAATTGGGGGAAGAGCACTGGACTATGGTGATGGCACACGGGTGGTCTGGTGATGGGAAGCACCCAGGGATTACAACTGAGATAGAAAAAGGCACAAAATGATGTAAAAATAAACTATTATATTGAAAAATTGCTGCAATTATTTGAAAATAGTTCAAAGTCCTTTGAATGCTTTGAAAGCTAAGACTCTAAATATTTCGGAAAATATTTTTAAAATGACTTTAAGACAGGGATTATATCTTAATGCACAGAAATTGCGAAGCACAGCACAAAACTAATATATTTGAAGCTACCTTAAGTTGAAGAAATTCTGTCCATCAAAAGGCACTAAAAGAATGTGATTGCAAACAAGCCACAAAATAGGAAAAGGTAGTGTCAACACACATTTTTAACATTCCAAAATTAATAACAAAAAGCCTGCAAAAGACATAAACACATCAGATATTAAGTGAACAACCTACGGATACATAAAAATATGTTTAATCTCATAAGTAATACAATGTAAATACCTAATGAGATACCGTTTTTTACTATCAGGTTGGAAAATGCCTAGAAATCAAATGATACTAAGTGTTGGCAAAGCTGTGCTGTAAATGGAACTTACCCACTGCTCACAAAAGGATAGATGAGAAAAACTACGTAGGAAAGCAGTTGGCCTTATCTATTGTTGTTGGAGTGCCATACCCTATTACTCAGAAATACAACATCTCACTTTCTACCATAAGCACAAGGATAAAACATCAAAGGTCTCTGATGCAACAAAGTTAAACATTTCTGTGTTTAATTCCCATATTTAATTCACACTAAGCATTTTATTTTATAAAATTTCCTTCTCTCTTCTGAACTTCACAAGAGTGAATTAACCAATTTTTAAGTGCCATTCAAGTCCTACAGCAAATTTGAATACAAAAAATTTGAATATAAATTTCAACACAGAAAAGTAAATTTTGCTGTTAATAATTAGCACTGTCTGACCTCCAACAAAGAAACCTAGAAACACTCACTATCACTTGATTGCTTCTTAAAATATTTTCTGTCAAGGAAAGGTTTTCATTTCTAATTTCTCTCATGTATCAAACACAGGTCAAGAACCATGTGGATGAAATGCAGTCCAGTGATTATTGATAGGATAGTTATCCTCATAGCCTCCTGGAAAATACTGGAAGATATTAGGCATGGGCTACACTTCAAGTGCCAGTGAAGATTATGAGATTACTTTCCTATTCTCCTTACCCCCAAGAAGAACAAATGACCTTTAAATTCCACTCACCTGAGGAATAATCCTATCAAATTCTAAAACCCTCCCTCCAGGTATTTTGTCCCGTTAATCCTATTACCTTTGGGAAATTAGCAGGCGGTGGTGCTTGTATTTAGACATCCTGTTAGTCCCAGTTCTCACAAGGCTATCTAGTTTAGGGGTTACTATTACTGTTTGTTTTTATTGAGGAAACAATGGTTTATAACCTTGTAGATAACTTGGATATGGATAGGTTCTCATCTCTTCAGATGTTTGCTCTCTCGACAACACCAAGTCCACTACCAAATCACAATTAGATCTCCACCATATTTTATGAAGCCTTCTCACCTAGGGAGCCTCGCTCCCTCACACTAAGCCCACACCAACCTCTCACTCACACCACTTCCCACCACACCCACCTCCCACCCCACTCCTCTTCCCCTGTAGACCAGTTCCACAGTCAGATTTCAAGGGGTATTTTTGGTTTAGATGTTCCCAATCCCATCATGTTAAATGCCTGGGTACATACTGGTAAGTGTGAGTAGCCATGGAGGGTCTTAGCTTGATACTTTGCAACTTTACTTCCACTAACATCACTGCAACTTTAACCTCCTCCACATCTGCATCCGGCCAGAGGAATATAAGCATCCATCAAGAGATGGGCTGTGACAGATCAAAGATCCCCTCACAGAGAAAAGGGGGTCATTTATAAAGAGTTCTCTCTCTTTTGATATTTTTGTTAGAAAACTTGGTGTTGCCAACTTTCTAGAAGAAGACCACAAAGTAGAATGATGCTTAATGAGCAGAATTGTATGAAATGTGTTCAAAATTACCTCCTAACCTGCTCAAGTTCTCTACTCAGCTCTTTTTTGCAACATGAGTGAATTGACTGTATTAGATATTTTCAGTGTTGCTTGAATGTACTTTTTTTTTAATTCATAGTCTCATTTAGCAATGAAAGTAAACCAAACACAGTCAACCATGAAATTTTTGATCCCTACCTCTGCTGTAGGAGCTGTGTCATCTTCCGCTAACTCCATTCCCCTGTTTTTTGTCATTGTCCTGACAACACAGCTTTCCTCAGTGAGTCAGTTTCTAAAGGAGATGACAGCTGAAGGCTGTCTGTTGATAGCTTTTCTAACATTTATGGGAACTACTGTCATCAAAGAAGAATTCAGATTTGTATCACACTGTTTACCACCATTTCACTTTACCACCATTTCACACATTCGTTTTATCTTAATGTTCTTCCCTGCTTATTCTTCTCTTCAATTGTAACTAGAGTAAAGAATTTTACTTTTAAAATGGATTTTGATTATTTGGATAATCAAAATTTTATTTGATTGTTTTAAAAATCAATTTTTTTAATTAGAAATACTTTTTTGTACAATGAATGCTTTTTTTTTAAAGATTTATTTATTTGTTCATACAGAACTGGGGTACAGGCCAGAGGCTCAGGGGCGGCAAGAGGCTTCACCAGAGACAGAGTGGGGAGCAGAACAGGCAGATCTATGAAGTATACTGCTGAGGGGAGCAGCGGGCAGGTCAGAGACAGAGTGGGGAACAGAACAGGCAGATCGACAAACTTCACTGCTGAGGGGAGCAGGAGAGGTCTGCCGCGCCATGTGGTCACCTCCGGGGCAGGCGGGAATCGAACTCATGCGAAAGTGGCTTTAGCTTCTCAGTGCTGTGCTTTAACCCGCTGTGCCACCAGGGAGGGCCTAATGAATGCTTTTTCATCTGTTTGTAATCCCCATGGACTTCCCATCACCAGTTCACCCATGTGCCATCACCTTAGTCCCATGTGCTCTTCTCACCCCAGTTTTGATCCTACTCCCCTTTCCCCACATCCCCTAGAATGTCTCTGGCTTCTAGTTGTTTTGTTGATTTTAGTTTTTACTTTATTATAATTACTTTTTAAAAATCAAAAAAAAGTGTTTCATTCATTTTTGATCACTAATTTTCTTTTTCCTCTTTTTCTTTACTTCTTTCCTGAGTCCCTATTTACCAAGTCACTAAGA